GATGTAACCTTCAAGGTTTATATCAGCTCACTTCATGTAAGGTTTTGTGGAAAAAACAGTTCACTATAAAGATCATTACTTATTTTTGACACAGGGACAGGTAATAGGCGAACACCAAAACTTGTAAAACACATGTGGGATATTGATAAACCTGTGCCTGGTGCATGCGGCGAGGGAATGAATGAGTCAACCGATCTATGTAATTGTTTATCTATCACCACTTCCAATGTTTAAGTGACACAAATTTGGTGCAATGCGGAAAGGACAAGAAATGTTGAGGGCCCTTTTGGCTCAAAAGAACATACTTTTCGTCACTGAAATCTGTCTGTACATAATAAAATATTCATATTAAATGAATGTATACTTTTTAAAAAATAGGGGATCATGAAATATAAATATTGATACCAAGTATTAGGACAAAGATACTTTGTCTGTAAAACAACACCAAAACACAGCCGACAGTTTGCTCATGCCGCGCGTAGAAGCGCCAAACACGTGCCTGGGGTGTCATTCCTGATTTTGTCATTTTCAATGAAGGACGGTAATCTCTGTGGACCATTATTTCTGTCAACCGTATGGATTCTGCTTATCATAGAATTGTGATTTGCTTGATTTCCTTCATTGTTTGTGTAGAAACTAGATCTAGAGATGCGGCGTCTACGGGCTATTGGCATGCTGGCACAAAGTCAGCGTGTAGTGGCAAATTTATTTAATGTCTGTGGATAGCACACTATAGAACATACAACACAACCACATGATGACGATCTAGCCCGTTCAGTACACCCCAGGTCAACTAGAAGAGTTCAGGATCGACTGATCCGAAGCTAGGCTCTGCGAAATTGAGCTCAAACGGTGAATCAATGCAAACTTTCATCTGGCTAGTGGAGTACGAGCTACATACATACTACTCTCAATGCTCGACGGCCACGTGCTGTGCCGCCCCTTACAACTCGTCATTTTGCCAACAGGCACCAATGGTGAACACGACGTCGAAACGTTCGCTGTTAACGTGTGATATTTCCAGATAAGTCCCAATTCACTTTGACCTCGTTGACAGATGTGGTCCAGTCTGACCAACTCGTCAAGCCAATGTCAACCTGAGACCTCATAACAGATGTGGAGGTGGATTGGTCATGGTGTAGGGTGGCATCACTATGACAGACCGAACTATATTGTAACCGTTGACAATGATTTCGGGATAACATACTGACTCGTGTGGGTCGACGTTTTGTCTTTCATCGTCAATGCTCACCGTTAGCAGGACAACACCCATAGAATGCCATGGCCAGCAATGTGCCTCGACCTTTCCCCAACTGAACACGTCTAGGATATTATCAAAGATTAACGTACGCGTTAACACCATAAGCCGCCGACGCTGCAAGAGTGAGTGAGTGACTGAGTGAGTTTGGGTTAACAACGCTTTTAACAGTATTCCAGTTATATCGCGGCGTGTCAAATTAATGTGGGAGGAAAGCCCGAAGTGATGCAGGTCTCAGACGTTTACCACTTCGGTGAAACCCACGAGCACGGTCATGGTGCTGACAAACCTAGAAACATAATCGGGGCGAACCGAGATTCGAACCCACAATAATAGGTTTCTGACGTGCCCAAGGGACGCAACTCTGCACAGCGAATCGCGGCGCCGTAGACGACTGGGCCACCTGTACCCCTGAACGCTGCAAGAGGAGTGGGAAAGACTCACTCAAATCGCAACGAGCGACTCATACGCAGTATGCCTCGTCGAGTAGTGGATGTTTGACAAATCGTGGCGGCATTACACACTGCTGATCCCAAAAACGTCGACCTACTACCTTACCCTTATCGTACTACAAGATCGTTGGCGGTCATATCATCCACTGTCATACTTCACTACCAGTTTCCATGCGTTCCCAATGCATTAATTATTATCTTGCCACTATTACTAGAGACTATCTCTTGCAAGTTTGGAAATGTTAAGCTATTTTCGAGTATCCCTATGTGTGTTTGTTTGTTTGTGTATGTATGTGTGCATGTATGCATATACACTCTTCAAAAACAGAAACGCACAGGTAGAATGTTAGTAAATTTATTGTACCTAATAAAGTCGATATATTTAATTTGATGTCATAGATACAAATATGACATTGTGGAACTCGATAGTCACATGCTGTTGTTGTACAAAGGCATTGAAAACTGCTCATTGTCATGTCACATAAGGACACAACGTTGCGCTGAACTCAGTATCTCGTGTGGCCGCCCCGGGCAGCAATCACGGCTCTGCATCTCCTCGGCACTGACTGGATAAGTGTACGAATTCTTCCTGCAGAATTGTGTGCCATTCTGCTTGTAACGCGATGACCAGTTGTGACAGTGTCTGCGGCGTGTTCCGACGTTAACGTACACGTCGTTCGAATTCATCCCAGAGGTGTTCGATTGGGTTGAGATCTGGAGATCTCGATGGCCAGGCCAACGCGCTGATGTTGGCATTATGAAGGTAGTCTACCGTGACACCAGATGTGTGCAGTGAAGCGTTGTCCTAATGAAACAGCTCCCTCTGGCGGTGAATGATTGGAAGAAGGTGAGGTTGAAGATTTTGATTCATGTAGCGATTTGCCGTCAAATTTCCGTGAAGCACAACCAAGTCAGATCTCGTGATGTAGGATATGGCCCCCACACCATGACACTACCGCTACCGAAATTGTCGAATTCACGTACACAATGTGGGGCAAAACGCTCATTTCGACGACGATAAACGCGTTGTCTTTCATGTCGCCGCCGATAAAGAAACCGCTAAACCACAATAGTGTCCAGTTTCTCAAATTCCAAGGCTGTAAGGTATGGCACCAACGCTTTAGATGGATCTGTTGCAAAACAGGGACGATAACTGGTCTTCTGGTTCGGATTTCAACCTCGCGAAGATGGTTCCTGACAGTCTGGTCCGATATCCTCCTCAAACCAGGGATGCGTCCTGCAGTCTCCGTAGCTGTGGCTTTGGGATGACGTAGGATGAATGACAAAATATTGGCTTTTGCTTGCCTTTTTATAGCCGCTACCACGAATTACGAATGCCATAACTTGCACGTGCATTTTGCTTTACTGTTTTCCTCCATTTCCTTTTTGAACCAGTGTGAAATCAATGCCGTTTAAGACATTGCAAGTTGACAATGGCTTTGTTTTGACGCACCGTTTGTCGAATATCAGACTACTAACATTTTCCAATAAGATATATCCATTTTATATACCGGAATTTTGGGGTAGTCAGGTTCAATGAACTACATATTACCTGTTCGTTTCGTTTTTTGAAGAGTGTATATATATGTTCATATATATGGTTATATGGATGAGTATTATTTTCCTAGTGTCTTCACATATGCATATACTCTTAAAAAAAAGAAACGCAAAGCCAGATTTGTGTGAGGGAGGAAAATACATTATACGATGAGCCGTACAAAGTATTGAGCCAAAATGTTGTGGAGAGAACACTTGGTGATTGTAGTACTAGTCATCTCAGTTATCGGTACATAGGAAAAGTCCAAGGTGAAGGTCAGCTACCATCAACAACGCGTATGTCCCCCGTTTGAATCGATAGCGGCCTGACATCTCCTGCCCATGGAAGAGACGAGTATGCGAATCACATCCTGAAGAATGGTTGCCCACTCGGCCTGCAACGCAAAAGCCAACTGCTGAAACGTCTGGTAGCCGTCTATCCAATTCATCTCACAGGTCCTTTATCGGGTTAAAATCAGGGGATCTGGGGGATCCAGTGCTGAACCGTGCTGTATGCGATCGTGCGTTGTCCTGTTAGAATACACCGTTGCCGGTGGCTGCAATTTGGAGTACGTGTGGTAGGATAATTTCGTTGATGTATCGTTGAGCCGTAAGATTTCCCTGGATATGAACCAAATCTGTCCTGCCATGATGAGAGATACCCATCCACATCATAACGCTACCCCCACCAAACCTGCCCACTTTTACGCAGTTTCCGGCGTAACGTTCTCCCCGACGTCTGTAGACACGTGCTTTTCCATACTCTCGACGTAGGAGAAATCTTGATTCGTCGCTAAAGCAGACATCTCTCCATCGCATTTGTTGTTAACGCCACCAATGCAGTCGGTGTTGACGAAGTTGTGGACTCAATACGACGCGTTGAACAGGCGTCCTGCTCGTAGACCTGCTGCTCTTAAACGGTTTCGTACGGTCTGGTCGGACATTCTCCGTCGTCCGGGTATTGGGGATGCGGTTGAGGTGGCTGTGTTCGTCCTTTCACGTAGGTGGATCAGTCGGATGTAGCGATCGTGGGCGGGGATGGTTACTCTTGGTCGTCCCGACCTTGGCCGATAACGTGTTGACATGTGCACATGATGTTGAAACCGATCCCCGAGCCTTGTGATGGTGCTGGGAGCTGATCTTGATTCCCCTGCCTGCAAGCGGCCTATGACTTTGTTTCTTTGCACTTCTGTTAATCTTGGCATGTTGTTGAACTGCCACTGTTCGATTGACGCAGATGCCAGGCCATATAAACCCCTGCACTTTAATACCGTTCATTGTGCTGCTGCACGTTCAGTGCGTGCAGCTTCATGATCATGGCCCTTTTGTTAATTCACTAGGTGCGTTTTTTTCCGAATCGTGCGTGTTTCCCGAGTAATGGTTTTGCATGTCCTTCTTATGATCATTTTGAACCGGGAAATTTGTCACTGACACCATAACACAATGAACCTTTTCATTTTACACCTCTTGGTCCGCTAATTTTGCTTTTATGGCCAAACATATCCGTTTTGCGTTCTTTTTTAGAAGAGTACATTCACACATTTTGAACCCTACCGACATTCTGCCATGTAACTATATTTTCAAACACTTAATTTATTTATTCTTCATGTCCCATCTTGGTTGCCTCTCACGCATGTGATTTATAGATTTCAATTGTGTGTAAGTCTTAAAACCGGATTGTGTCACATTACGCATACATCTGATGTCGACAGTGTCTCCCTCGTGTAAGTCGATATGTTTGTGTCCAATTTCAGTAGTCGACCTGAAAGAGAGTACAGATGTAAGGATGAAGACTGGTCAAAGGATGATATAGTGTGTCCACGTGGTGAGTGCCACAATGTACTTGGAGCAGTAGGGTGCAGAGCAATGGGTAAAACATCTAGGTGTCTGTCCTATATTTAGGAAGCATATACTTATTACTGACACAACGTTTCTGAACAATTAGGAGGGATGTTTCGGTGTAGGTTCTAACACTTGCTTGATAACAGTGTCAGAACCTCCATCGAAACGTCGCTCCTAATTGTAATAAAGAAGTTGTTCATCCATATATCTTATCCATCTTAACACTGTGCAAAATGTGGGTACATGTAAAGTTTGAAAAATATAAATCTCTTTGACGTTATAAGTATAAAGTTGTGTTTATGACAATGCATTGTAGCAAGCGAACAGTGTTATGCTGGTATGACCTGAGGTTTTTCAAGGTATAGCGTGTGTCAGGTACACTTTGGCAACTAGATGTTACAAGTGGTTGTCATAGATCTGATATTCGACATGTTTTTCAGCTGTGTGCAACGGTAAATTCAACCCTGACGCGTGCAACGAGGACCATAAGGTGTTAATCCAGCATAACCGCGAACTTATATCCCTGTGCTTACTGGCAAATGTTTTCTTACCCATGTATAATTTCACTGACACTAAAACTAAACGATACATTTAATATATAAGTGAGGAAATGTCGCATCGTTGAATGGAATGAATTACAATCAGATTAACGAAAGATAGATATGAATTAGAATCCCTTTTTATGTAAAAGCAACGTTTCCATAAGGTATTGAATACAACCTATTCATGTATATGCCCTGGTAACTGTTCACAGAGACGTGTTCCTGGCGGAGTGAGAGCACCTGGTGTTATCCCGGTACCTGCACAGAGGAGTACACCAGTAACTGTGTCTGCTCCAGTGGTTTCACAGGAAGACTCTGCCAGACAAGTAAGATGATTACTTAGAAAGACGAATTTGGATTTGAGACGTCTTGGTTATTTTTCTTGCTGATGGAACATTATTTTGCAATAATGTGTGTACATTAAAACCAACCAACGCAAATGTTGCGTCTTTTTCTGTGTGCAGATTCGCTAAAATATGTTTTTCTGTATTATATTGCCGTGCATCTTATTGGAGTGATTTAAGAATTATTTTAACAAATACAATCATGTTTTAGCTATGTCAGAAAATCGGCAAATAAAAAACAATACCAAGTGACGTAAGTCCCAATGGGATTTTCAGGACGGATAATGTCACGACATCAGCAGCTCTCCGCGTTAATAAAGTTCACTAAACAATTATTAAACTTTGGTGTTTGAAACTATTGTTTTGTTGTGATCTATGCGTCTGTCAACATAAGGCCTGAAGTTGTATTTGTTGACATCATCATCTGATGATAGTGAGCGAATTTACCGTCATCAGCTGATGAATGTCATGTACAACGTCAATCCTTAAATGATATCTTTTGTGTTTCAGTGCCGCGTGTATGGCTACTATAAGATACCTAATAAACTGTGCAGGAAGTCCTTAATAATGTAGTGTTCATTTTTCATCACAGTGAAGTCACGGCCTTCAATATTGTACAACCACCTTAAACTGACGGCTGACAATGACATTGAAGCACCGGCAGACGTCAACAACGGTCCACCTCAAAATAGAACATGGTCAAACATTGCGTGCCCGTCTAGCGTTCACTACAAGTTTACTACTGTGCAAGAATCCGAAACTAACACTGCAAGTGATCCGACATCTAATCCTGTGCGCCAAAAGAATACCCCAAGGGTCCCGCCACCACACCCTTTCATTGAGCATTTCGAGGTGGGCATAGTCAATGCTTCGGCGAAGTTCAGACTTTTAAGAGAAACGAAGACTATTGAAGGTAATTATTTACTCATAGTTATGAGTGATGTTATGATACGTTGATCTTAAGAATAGGTATGACAATCACTGAAATGGATTATTTGCTTGGATTTAGAAAATCTGCCAATACTCTCTTGGTTATGAACAACAAACAATCTGAAAGAGTTTAAGCTCAGAAATGCTTCCCAACATGTGAAAATATAAATTCAACAACGTTTCATTTTTACTTCGAGGTGGAGTTAAGAAAATAGTCCTCACAACAGAATTTAAGTGTACGGGGCGACCATGTCCTTGTACCGGCATAGCTGCTGTGTGCCAAGACAACCCTGCAGACATCAGCCGCGATAGAGGTACAGTTACAGGTACAGTTATTTTTTTGTCCATAAACTATTGTATAATCTCTGTCAATCTCTGAATGTGTCCATTGTTTAACACATTTTTTAAGCATACATATATTAATCTAATGGTTATTGAAAATGATTCATATGTGTTTTCTGTGAAGCAAATAGGACCTTTATTTGTGAATGTTAAAGGAAAAGCGAAGGCTTCCGGGTGTGGTCGCCCAAGTAGAGACAACCCAGACACAGATGTGTACACGTGTGAAGGCAGCAAGTCAGGGGAGGAAGTATTCCCTTCACAACTGCCCTTCAAGCACCGCGATATGTATGTAACCTGATCATTAGGGATATCCGATACACATCAACACACTCTGGCGCTATTTTACAAAATGTAACTCTGTATTAGCGACACCAAGGATGTCGCAAGTTAAAAGAATTAATGAAATAATTTATCTTCGGTCGGTATTCTTGTGTGTATCTATGGTAAACATGGATAAAACAAGATCTATTCTTAGCCTATGGAGTACGGTTCCCCATTTCATGACACTCCCTTCACCAAATCTTTGCCGACCAGTCCTTGTTTATTAACTTAATGTTGAGCGCCAGGGTAACAACATTTGTCTTCTTTAAATGCCATTTGAATCGATTTTAATTGAAACGCCGACCATCCACACTTAGTGCAGACAACACCACGGATACGGTTGTAAATATTTCATACTTCCTTTTACAGTATTCAGTTTTCCTACTTAGCCAGTAATGGAGGGTATGTTGACGTACGGAATAACGAGACTGACACACTAGCGCGCCATTATTACAGTGGTGCCACACAGAACCACACCTTTAATGTCACCATAGACCTGATGGCTCCCTCTCATTGTACTGGTAGTACTGCCTGTGTTGGCAGCATGCTGACTGCTCCCAATGTTATTACAACTGTAAGTACAGAGACATACTAGCGATTTCGTTTAGATATATATTCTTATAATAGTAATCCATACGTGGAAACAATATGTTAAGATAACAATTATGTGTATGTAAAATATCTACACGTCCACATGTTCTTTTTTCCTGTAAAGTGCCACAAATGTTTGTATTGTCTTTAATAGCGCGGCTGTGGCTGACCTTGGATATTTGCATGATTCGTGTTCTTGGGAAACTGATAAGCAGTATTTATATGCAATTGATGGAAATTGTTGTGGGTGTCTTGGTATAGTTTATGACACCTTCGTTTTTCCAAATTATAAGGACATGAATTTTGAAAAGCGTGGTGAATCACAAAGCTTTTCAACCTTGCCAGTACAACACTACCACAGTTCGTGTCTTGATGTGTCTACATGTGTCTTATGGACAAAGAGCAGGTCTTGTTCTTATCCAAGGCAAATTAACAGCTTGTGTTTTCATGATGAAATCTTATGTCCTCAAGATGTCCCGGCTCTGCACCCTAAAGGCGCAACGTTCCCACATGATGCTCGTCCCCAGAGAACACGCGTTTGTGCTGACGTTATGAGTGCCTAGGACACATACGTGCTGCCTTGAGCCTCTTTGGGGGGAGCTAGACAAGCTCGTCAGGAATTATCGCTTGCCATTCAACAAAGTGACATGCGCATGCTTCCTTGTTCTGTCGGCAGGAGATGTCGTGCAGCAATGCAGGTCAATTACATGTTAGTCAACTCGTCACTGTATACAATTATTAAACGAATTTCTTCTTCCAGCCCACTGTGAACCTCCGCTGGAGTGGCTGGACAGATGCTGATTCAGGCATTGACTACTTTGTGAGGGACGTGTATGAACTCAATGCGGATTCTGATGTACTCACAGAAAGAACTGATGTAGTTAATAGTCGGACTTTCAACATCTCTACAGTTAGTATTTTGTCGCATGTTATAATAGTGAATTGTATCGATCAGTGACAATAGTCCTTGATCATGAAGCTAGCATGTGTATGTACGTTCGTGTGTTAGTGTCCGTATGTATACAGGTTGGAGATACATGTGGCACACATATATTGGGGTATGCATATATAAATGTGCTTCACATTATAAGTTTAATCTAATTAATACTGTTTGATTTAATCGTCCATAGATGACCGGACTTCATCTTCACACCTCATTGTAAAAACTTGGGAGTATAATGAATCGTCACCGTCAGCAATAAACGCACCCCGTATACACGAAAGCTGTCTGTAAATAATCGATTCAAGGGTGGATAGACCAGTGGTTGCCAGCACAAGTAACGGGTCCGCTTGTTAGACAAGTGAATGAGTTTCTTATTACCAAACACTTTACCACGGGGGCGGTGGGGTAGCCTAGTTATTAGTTATAAAAAGTGTGCGCTCGTCACTTCGAAAACCCGGGTTCGATTCTCCACATGGGTACAATGTCAACATTTCCGGTGACCCAGCCGTGATATTGCTGCAATATTGCTAAAAGCGGAGTTTAATCATACTCATTTACTCACTCTTTTCAATGGACCCCACCAGGCATTATAAGTTCCCATCTACCTTGTGATTACACATGCCCTACAAGAGAAAATAATCACGCATTGACATCTTATTACAAAGGATTACCGTTTGAGATATTCGTTGAAAGTAAGAGTGGGAATGCTAACCTTAATACGTTAAGTCGTGACCAAGGATCATTATGATCGTTAAAAGGTTGCTTGGTCAGAAAGGAAAATCAAGGGTTAAGTATGTTGTTGGGGGTAACATAGCAAGATACTCCTAATACAATTAACCCTAACGATCGAAGAGACATTGTGGTAACTATTCTACATTGCAACTTAAATATATGTTAATGTCCTTAAGCTTCATTAAGCTTTTGATTTGCATTCTAGAAGCTAGTGAGTAAACAAGAAAATACAACCTTATGCATACAAATTCTGGTTTATTGCATTTAGCGATGCTATGATGTTGATTTTTATCGAGGCAAGGGTTAACTGACTATAAAGTCCATTCTTTGCAGGGTGCAGTCAAAATGGCGTAACGAAATCCTCATCCGGTTCGTAAACAGATTTCGGTCGATTACAGGATTTGCGAAATTGTGTACCGTCAACTGAGCGTCAACATATGCATATATTTTCCAAATCTTTTCATTTTTTTATCAAGGCCCTCGCGTAATTTGATGAAAGTAAGACCCGAGTTATTACAATATGATCTTGATTATTGATTAGATCGTCTTCGCTGGGCGCCGCCATTTTGTGTGAAACAAATGCAACGGATATGAGAGGTGGAATCTGATTGGTCAATAGGAGGGACATAGAAGGGACATAACTCGTAGTAGCTACTAGTGGCGCTACCATCGAGCCCAGAAATTCCAGACTTGTTCGGCAATGGTGGAAACTGGACTTTTACAGTACTCCCTTGCCTCGGGAAGATGGGATCGGCATCGTGTAAGACAAAATAAACATACTCATCACGATTCTTCGAAATCGCTAAAACGTATATATATATATATATTAAGGTTTTAAGATATGATTTACGCTTTAACGATTTCTAATAATCGTGATGAGTTTGTTTACATATATGGAGCTTTATATCCATAGCTTATGTTTTATTTCAGTCATCTGAAAACTACACGCTACCTCGTGATGGCGTCTACGCAGTCGTGCTAACCGTCCATGACAAGGCAGGTAATCACAGAAGTGCCAGACGGATCCTGATGTATGATGGTACGTCAAATGTAACAGCCGAAGAGGACGTCGACAGGCAACTTCGGGTGACGACTGCAACATCATCTGGCTGGCAGACAACATCATCAGCGGTGACAGTAGACTGGACGAACAGATACGTCAACAAAAATCACGATCTTAACCATTGGCTCAATCAGGTTGCCAACGTGAGTGACATAAAACACTCTTATGATGACAACGAAGGCGACAGAACAGTTGCCGCAATCGATAATGTTCAAGGTACGTTCCTGGCATGTATGTGATTTGGGGAATGTATATATTAGCCAAATATGAATAAGCTTCGATGCCAAGTATAATTCCTCTTGCTTATTTATATCATATAAAAGATAGCGTGACGATCCGATTAATATGCAAATGGTGCGATTCACTCAGGCTGTGTATTTATGCGCTGTTTGAAAAGTTACTTTAATGGGTGAATTGTAACAAATATCATTTTTTGAAAGAATGTCATATAGGTATGAAGAGATAATTACCCATTTGTGTATTTGTGTTCTATCCACATAACACATGTACAATATATTCCTTATAATCTAAAAATGCGTATAACTTGAATTCATTTTGTTTGCTGCCATACAGGTATTACTCGCATCCTAACTTTTTACAAAATCGATCACAATGGTGGATCAACTATCACGAGTGTTCCATCCGATGACTTGTTCGTCAGTCAAGGCCTGAGTCAGTCACAAACTATAACACCCTCACTTGTGGATGGGGACACTGTACGCTTCTGGGTGCGAGCCTATGACATCAAGTCGGACTTGAAAGAAGAGTATGTGACAGTCCATATCGACACATCGCCTCCAGTCATAGAGAACCTGTGGCTCACCAGAGGCGACAGACTCAACATCAGTGTTCATGGAGCAAAGAACCTCACAGATGTTACGTGAGTGAATCGACCTCTGTCTTCCATATGTTCGTAAATCTGTCAATATTCTTTTTTTCAATATATTCAATTGTTGCTTGGGTATAACTTCAGGATAGAGTGGGTAGCCTATGATGAGCACAGCGGCGTGGAGACAGTATCCTGGAGAATTGTGGATAGGAACCAGGATATCGTACATGGAATAGGCCACATCAAAGCACAAGGAGAAGCCTGGGCAAGTGGATTCTGAATAATCGTGAAAGAGCCAATTGTAATAAACACTCTTTGAGTGCTGATAATAATAGTTGATAAGTATGACCGATTGCCATGCAAATATCTTACAACTGTGCATTTTCTCATCTATATGTGTGTCGGGTTTGACTGAACAGGGAATTTAAGGAGATAATGCACGAGCTTCATGCCTTCATACCAGGTATAGTTCTGATGCATTTATACATTATGTAAGTACCGACGCTAACCTCAAAGTACTGCTTTCTCCATGTTCGTTGATGTATACATTTCAGACAATTGAGGAATGCAACACTATGTACGAAAACATTGCACGAGGGCCTAGCTGCTACTGTACCCCCTCCACCGGGTGCTATCACCGTCACTTCCAGGTTCAAACTGCGATGGTAGACAGCAACTCATCTTCTCATGGGGGAATATTCGATGACAGAGACATGGGAGTTCATGATTCTGACTATCATCTGGAGGTCACTGTAACCAATTGGGCAAATCTAACCAGCAAAATGGACTTGAAGGTACGTACATGCACTTTGAAGCTACAGCCTAGTAACCCGTTCCACAAAGCGGACATAGCTCCCATACTGTAACATAAACGTCATATCATCGTAGCGTAGATGGCTTTGTGCAGCTGGGTCCGGAGTTCTTGTGTTTTATGCACCATGTGTGTGTGTCGCATTAGATGACGTGTTCTGTTCACCATGTATGTGTGTCGCATCAGATGACGTGTTCTGTTCACCATGTATGTGTGTCGCATCAGATGACGTGTTCTGTTCACCATGTGTGTGTGTCGCATCAGATAATGTGTTCTGTTCACCATGTATGTGTGTCGCATCAGATGATGTGTTCTGTTCACCATGTATGTGTGTCGCATCAGATGACGTGTTCTGTTCACCATGTATGTGTGTCGCATCAGATGATGTGTTCTGTTCACCATGTATGTGTGTCGCATCAGATGACGTGTTCTGTTCACCATGTATGTGTGTCGCATCAGATAATGTGTTCTGTTCACCATGTATGTGTGTCGCATTAGATAATGTGTTCCGTTCACCATGTGTGTGTGTCGCATCAGATGACGTGTTCTGTTCACCATGTATGTGTGTCGCATCAGATGACGTGTTCTGTTCACCATGTATGTGTGTCGCATCAGATGACGTGTTCTGTTCACCATGTATGTGTGTCGCATCAGATGACGTGTTCTGTTCACCATGTATGTGTGTCGCATCAGATGACGTGTTCTGTTCACCATGTATGTGTGTCGCATCAGATGACGTGTTCTGTTCACCATGTATGTGTGTCGCATCAGATGACGTGTTCTGTTCACCATGTATGTGTGTCGCATCAGATGACGTGTTCTGTTCACCATGTATGTGTGTCGCATCAGATGACGTGTTCTGTTCACCATGTATGTGTGTCGCATCAGATGACGTGTTCTGTTCACCATGTATGTGTGTCGCATCAGATGATGTGTTCTGTTCACCATGTATGTGTATTGTGTCGGATTATTGGTAAATATTTCACATACTATCATAAATATTAATGAAATCGGCATCTGTCAAAGTAATTGCTGTTTGGGTTAAGTCAGGTGAAATTGGGTTTAACGTCGCGTCCAAGATTATTGCACTTATATAGCGACGTGCATGCACGTGTGTGTGTGTGTGGCTGCTTGTACTAGTCCGGACTGATGCCGATTTATAGTGCTAGCCCACTACCATGCCGCAGTTTAACATGAATACCCCACTTAGACACAGTATACTGACTCCGAGCCGACCAGTCCTTGTTTTAGCCCCTTAATGCCGAGCGCCAGACAGGGTAACAACAAGTACCATCTTTTAACGTCTTTTGGTATGACGCGGCCGGGGATCGAACCCCGGACCTTCCGCTCTCCGGGCGGACGCTCTACCACTACACCATGGAGGCGGTTTGGGTTAAGTATAATGACATTAATGAATTTTATATATATCATCAGATACATGTAAATCTGATATATTAAAGACGCTTTATTCGAGCGCAGGTGACGATAGACGTCAGTCCCCCTCATCCTGGTGCTGTCCACGATGGTCGGTCTGGAAACCCGGAAGTGGACTACCAGGACAGTCTACAACTCCATGCCCACTGGGACGGGTTCTTTGACAGAGAGAGTGGGGTCAAATTCTATCAGTACATATTTGGCTTTCATTGCCACAGAGCTGATGTTTTTGACCTAGATGCTCCTTCACAACAGGCATGTTCATTCTCATGTAAATTCCAGCTAACATATATTAAACTTGTTTCCATTTGCTGTATGCATAGATGCATAGTAAGGAAACGTCCTAATCATAATGAATTTCAAACATGCAGGGCACTGAAACCCATTCCACAACAGCCAGTTAACATGTCCTTGTCTTGTAAAGATCGTATAGTTCTCTTGATATTTCGGATCATGTCCTCAAACTCTTTGCATGCAGGTCACTGAAACCTATTCCACATCCGCCTCCTGGACAGCGCCCTCTGTCGGCAAGTATCACGTGACAGTGGTGGCCTACAACCGAGCACTGGAAGCATCCGACCCTGTGTGTTCTGACGGAGTGACTGTAGACACAACCCCACCCAGTGTGAGTGAGGTGGCAGTGAGGGACTCCAGAGTGGCGGAGGGCTTGGTCAAGTCTTCAGATAATGATGTGTGGTTCATTGACGCCCACAGAAGACGTACCCTATTGGTCACTCCCGATAACAGTTGCAGGTGATACATATTTTATATATCCAGGGAATTAACTCCAACCATACATATCGATGTGTATGTAAGAGAGATACATACGAGCGTCAATTTAATACGCCTGAGCATGAAGCATACGTTTGTTATGTTGACGTCATTGACCGTGATCGTCTTGGTTATGTAGTGTGCATTTTCGTGTCGACAATACTGTTTTCAGCAGCAGTTGCAGGTATGCGCATTTTAGTACAGGACTAAATTCAATGTATCTCAAGAAGTATTTATGCGGATTTCAATGTAAAGTGTACATGAAGGTTATTAATGCGGATTTCAAAGTACAGTATTATAAATATTGACTGTGTCGCCAGTTCCAAGGCCACGCCAGTAGATAACCAGAGTCTTTCCCTGTTTCCAATACATCGTCACAACAACGGAAGTGGGATGCAGATGCACAACGATGAGTGTGGATCCCTCGTCGCCTTGTCTGTCACCTTCATCAAGTCACTGTACGTCTACAAAGAGCATCACGTACGTACATTAACTATCGAGTATTGTGGTGATGTAGTTCTGGAGTATGTATGTAAACGACTCGGTTTGTAGATTTTCAGCGGAGGTGAATGGGAAAATACTCCTTGAATGGAATCATGATATCAGTATTATCAAGTATGATTACCTTAGGATTATTCATAAAACGCAAAGCAACTATTTGTCATAGTAATTAACTTGAGATGATATCTCCATTGATATATTTACAAGTGTCATGCTTAGATCTTCCATTGCCAGCTATTTGTAAACTGGACTGGCAGTGACACAGAGAGTGGAATCTATGACTACGAGCTGGGGTTGATGTCAGATCCTTCTGGTGAAGCAGCTCCAGATATCCTGCCCTACACGTCCACTCATCATCATCCTCAGTATCAGGGCTACCATCCTCGTCTCAGTGAGGGGCAACAGTTCTACATAGCCATCAAGGCAATCAACAAAGCTGGTGCCTCAGCATCAAAAGTATGTATAACTTTACTTTACAACGACAGTAAACCATTATGTCAAATATTTGTTGTTAATCCGGTATATACATTTATGCCTTGTGATATACATGTACATAGCTAATTCGTCTTCTGTAATTCCTGAGGTTGTGGGTCCTGTAACTGTTCATACCTTCTACCCTGGATTTTCTGGATCGATCAGTGTCATGTTGAAAAGTAACGTTCTGGTTGCACGTTGGAATAAGGCCTTCACAGATCCGGAGCTATTATATCTCAAATACGAGGTGTCAGTGAGTAAGTAGCTTTATCATCCATTCCACGCGTGTCGATAATCAAAACCCGTCACTCGTTGTTACCTGGGTTACCATAGTTTTTGTTGGATTTGAATGGATAACTGGGAAAAAAATAAACGATGGTGTGTGTGTGTATGTATGTATGTGTGTGTGTGTGTGTGTGTGTGTGTGTGTGTGTGTGTGTGTGTGTGTGTGTGTGTGTGTGTGTGTGTGTGTGTGTGTGTGTGTGTGTGTGTGTGTGTGTGTGTGTGTGTGTGTGCGTGCGTGCGTGTGTGCGTGCGTGCGTGCATTCGCTCGAATGCATGTTTGTATGAATATAAATGTAGGTATAGATGGATGGATGTGTGTGACGGTAGGTGCACAAGTGCACATGGTGCATGTATGCCTATGTACAATCTAACCTATATAATGAAACATTGCAACTATGCTTTAACTTGGAGAGGGGCAGTCGACACTCATCCCCTTCACGGCGCTGCAGTCGGGAGGAGGCTGTACACTGACGTCTCCACCCACGTGTACAGCTGTAGCCCTCACAGACCTCCACTGGGATCTCCACCACAGCCACACCTACTTTGTGTCAGTCAGAGTCACCAACATAGTAGGGCTGTCCACAGTGGCAGTGTCTGAACCCTACGTCCACGACGTATTGCTGCCTTCACGTGGTGTAGTAGAAGACGTTATTCCATCTGGAGAAGAATCCTTGTTTGAAACAAGTGTATGTGCATCTTTTGAATCGTAACTCAGAATTATATTTAACATGTCTTCTTTTATTACACAATGTATGTCAATCGCGTGTACTCATGACAATAATGACAATGAATGACTTCGCTGGAGTTATAAATTGTGGACAAGAATGATTCAATTTTGCTGAAATATGATGATGTTTGTAAATGCATTGAATCAAGGTGTATTACCTCTATGCATCCCACTGTTGTGTGTTCTCACAGATGTTCCCTTGAAATAGATGTGTCAGCATCGAGACCGCATGAAAATTCGTAACTTAATTACTTTCAGACTATTGAGGACACAGACCAGCAAATCTCAACAAGTTCCATAAGGGCCAGGTGGTATGGATTCGACGGTGGGCTTGAAACTGTAACATACAAAGTCGGGATTGGATCTCAACCTCGTGCATCAGATGTCAAGAGTCTACTGGACGTTGGCAATGTCTTACAACATGAGTTTACTGGCCTACATTTGCACGAAAATCAGGTTTGTATAACACGAAGTTACCATATATGAATTAGTTTTGCAGCATAATATGGTTGAGATTCCAATACAGAGGAATGCAGTTCGTTATTTTTTTGCGTTTTGTTAATTGAATAAGTGAAAGTGTGAGTCATTTTTACATTGACTGATTTGTGCACATTGACTGTAATATATGTACGTGGAAATGGTGCCTCTGGATAATTTCAGAAGTATTTTGTGACTGTCGTGGCGGCTACTGGTGGAGGAGAGATGACGGTATCCTCTGACGGTGTGACGATTATCAGGCCAGACGTTGATGTCACAGATATCACTATCAGAGACGGGCCAGGATGCGGTGATTCTGGTACACGAATGAATTACCTTTCGCCCAAATTAAGCCAGTTAACCAGATGGTCCTATTTCCACATTTGACCTGAATTATGTTTTTTGCATTTTCTTTCCAAATGGGTGTTTTCTAACATTGTTGTATATTTCATGAGGCCCCTGTTGCTGGAAAGTAGTTTTTAAGTGATTCTATGTACTCACGAGCTTCTTAAAACCAGACTGTTCTATGTCCGTGTAAATGTCGATGTGTCCACTCACATTCTTCACACAGATCCTGTGACAAGAAGATAGGCCCGCATAGTTCCAAATCATTTGGTTATTATTTATTAACTGTAGAATATGTACGTTGGGTGTGAATTTTGTGATCTGTCAGCTGAAATACAGAAGAAAAGCTGATGACTTCATTACAGTACGCTGTCTCAAGTATGTGATTTCTCCTTTGGTAAAAACTTTGATCAAGAATAATCAGAATATGCCAGTTGGATTTTACTGATGGAGATAGAACAGTATGGATCTGAAAACAAATAAACTTTCTTGGTACTCTGACAAAAAAATAATAATGCGACAAGTGTTAGCCGAGCTGCATTGTGTTACTCCAGATCACATTATTTTGTCTTTCATTTCAAGAATGACTTTTAAATAATGCACAAACTATATTTTGTCAAGAGAATACATTGGGATGGATTATATGTTTCGATTGAATTAATGGCCAGAAATTCAACTGATTGAGGATGTATTTCCCAAGTGAATAGAACTGTGTTAGTTCCAAACGCTTGCGAGGGGATTGTCTACATAAATTACGATTTGCCGGTAAGCAGTATTTCCTCAGAGCAATAGATATTCCATACCTTGCAAATATTTTTGTTTTCATACTACAACATATATCACTGTCGAGTTTTCCCCAGACCAAGGTCCTGATGTTACTGCAAGGAACATGAAGGTATGTATGTGATGAAGAGAAAAAGAGAGCTTGGTGTGAAGTACATACAGCTTCCGTGTAACCTATTGAAGAGACGATAACAATGGTTATTTATCATTAAACCATGAATTTGAAACATACTCGATTTTGATTGGTGAGTTAGAGGTTTGAAATCACAATCACCCCCCTCTGATAAAAAACAGCCCATTTGTCTGCCGCATCACCGAGGAAGCCAATATTTTTAGAATAGTACTTATTTTATGGACATTGCCGGTTGAAATATTTATATAATTTTGTGTACAAATATAGGCTACAAAATGCAAAGTTACGGTTACTACAATAATTAAAGGATGTGTGGCAAAAGATTCCGTGCAGAAAACACAATATAAGTCTACAAAGAGTATGTATTTCCATTTTGGATAAACAACAGAGAGCTTACAATTTTGCGCTTTTCTAAATATGACTGTGACGCCATATCTTTTGCGTCACAATGTGCGATATGACGTTGTTATAGTGACGTGCGTTTTAGAACAAAATCTTTGTGAGGCTTACGAGATTTTCGTGCTTATGCTTTCAGTGTCTGTCATAATTTCGAGTGAAGTATAACGGTGTAAACAAACTGCTTGAGCATAATGAATGTCATATTTGGTTTAAAAAATATTGTCGACGATTCCGTAAATTCTGATCAAGAACCCACTGGACTCAACCCATGCCGATTCACTCAATGTAGTTTCTAATACCTTTTATTTCGTCATGGTAAATTGGAGATAAACATACTGTATTTTCAATGCACAGCTAGGTTACCTGTATATTTAACCGCGCTAAATTGAATTTGCGCAGCGTGAGGTTTAACATGTTAAATGTAGGGCGGTTAAATCTACAGGTAACCTAGCTCTACATTGAAAACATAGTTTGTTTATCTCCTAATTAATTAATTTCCAGGATTGTACTCGTGATTTGGAATTCCAAATTTCTACCTCAACATATGCGGCCCACTGGAACAGGAGCACCAGCAGTAGCCTGAACTATCCGGATGTACACTGGGGGTTTCAAATATTACTACCCAAATCAGGTGACAAGAACTAGAAATGAAGCTCCCACAATATCAAAATAACATAGCAATGTGTTTGTAGTGAACGATACATGTACGAGGATGATGATAAAAGTAACGTCCTGAAACTACCAAACATTTGTTTGATTATGTTATTTGATAAACAATAATTTATTGCTCAATATTGTATTCACTCTTTAGCAGAAATCTGGAACACCTGGAGAGATTTCGAGCCTCTTGGGTCCTCTGAGAGACTCGTGGTTGGTGATTTATCTCTGGAAGCAGGACGTACCTTCAGGGCTGCAGTCAAGTTCTGTGCTGGTAAAGTCTGTACTAAGCCTATCCACAGTGACGGTGTGACTGTCCTACCGCATCCTCCAGCAGCTGGAAGCATGTCACTGACATACGAGGAATCTGTAGGGGGAAAGGCACAGGTAAAGTATACAAGTTTGAAAGAAACTCCTTTAAGTATTTTGCTTGAATTCGCCACTTTGTCATCCCTTTCACAGAATGAATCTTGCAACAAATACACATCCGTGTCATGAACTATTGCGTATTTTAAGGGGTAATTTGCTGACCTATGTTGACAGAATTCAAATAATATTGTCAAACACAAGACGTGTAAAATGTTATTGTCATACAATAACGAGAACTTTGTAAACGTATTAACTCAGCAACGATTCAAGTTAACAGTTTCCCAATAAGCTGATTGAATATACAGTATTGTTTCCACAACGTTCATCATGTTATGACCATGTCTACAGTGCTAGGGATGTCCTTACATACAGTGTGTATGATATGTTAGTATAAACACCTTTAAATTAGTTCCTCGAAAATTTTATGTGTACCTTTTCGAAACATCGCACAATACGTTTTACCACGGACAAATCCTGCTGATAATGTTTTTGCATGAAATTAATTAATTTAAGAGCATAACTTAACATAATATGTTGTTACAATATAAAACTATATATTCACAGATCCAGGTGACAATGACTCGGTTCCGTGATCCTGATATACCGGTTGTATCTGAAGCCTATGACGTCATGGACAGATACGAGTGGGGACTCACAGACAACAGTCACAACAGCAGCATGTTCATCAACTGGCACGAGGTGGATGCTCACGCTATTGTCAGTATCAACGACGAGGTTAGCATGAACAACATATAACGTTATTTACATGCCATTCAGTCAATATTATATTCAATATACTACAAAGTTGGTATATTGTTAGTTACATGTTAATAACTGTTATGTGTTTCCAGATGCGTTTTCAGATAACTCTACCAAAGCAGCTAGACTTTACCAAGTGCCGGAGACTAGCGGTCAGGGGTCACAATATAGTTGGAATATATTCAACAACTTCGGCAGATGTCAGAGATTGTAATGCATATGACCCACGTTACATTGAACCTGCAGTCGTTGTAGATGCTGTCGGTGAGTAAAGTCTGAAGAAGACGAGAACATAACGCATCTCGACCTGATCATGACCAAAAACTCACTGGAGCTGAGAATTTTCACATTAGTGGAAAATGTCGCAATTATTACATTATGTTCGTAATATTTTAGCCAATGTATTAAGAATTAACAAGTGCTTCAATCTATATGTGTATTTCAACATTGAGGGAGATGTGACTGATATTATGAATTCCACAATTGCATCGATATAATAACATCATGTTTGTATGAATATAACGTTACTAAATCATGTCAAACTTCCTTCCGTCCATTATATAGAAGAGTGTCATCACAGTTTGAATCAACGTTTCTAAAGAAAGATCTTATCATATTCAAATACCATAAGCTTATGGGATTCCAGGCACAGCGAAAGGACCACGTGTAGGATATAGCATTAGTTTAGATCAGAACAATTACTGGGAACACGATGATGCTGACTACACCCCCTACAAGAACATCCTGTCTGCTGTGTGGCCGACTCTACGTCACAGGAACTACACGTGGGCAGTGGTGTCAGGTGACCAGGTGGACCCCTCATCTCACTACAAGAGAGAGAGTCTGATGACCGTCACTGACCCCTGTAGCATGCCAGATGTAATCAGGTGTGGACACACAGGTAATATAATTACAACAATTCTACTGTTGACATCATTCTTATTTCTAATATGCAGTTCAACCATAAGTTTGGAAATTATCGGTTGTGATTGATCAAGCTTATAACTACAGGGTGCCCACATGTTAGCTCACGAAGTACGATGTACTACAGGCTGTAAATGCCTGTTATATGTTCGAGTGGATTAATACCTGGAGTGTAATGAGGGTTGAGGATATACAACGCCATACTTTTGTTTAAAGGCCGTTATCGATGATACCCTAATTCAGATCGACAACCCACTCAAAACATTTGACCAAGCCGATACAGCTACAACATGTGCTAACACGTCAGAATGGAGATAAACCCAGTGCGCTTTCAATGTATAGATAGGTTATAATTTTAACGTTCGATTTCAAATTCAATTAAGCGCGGTTAAATCTACAGGTAAACTAGCTCTACATTGAAAACACAGTGGCCACATCTTATATGTTTTCATTTCGTACTCATCAGTCAACGAGTTCCTCAACGTGGAATTCACACATGGGGCTCACCTACAGCATGGCAAAAGATTTTATGTGTGCATACATGCTGATGAGAAAAACACTCCATTCGAGAAGTGGACGTCCCAGCTGACTGAAGTGAACGCCTGCAGTAACGGCATCACAGTCGACCTCACACCACCAACACCGGGGACAGTGAGCGTTGAGGGACTTATAGACGGATCCTTCCAGGTATTGGTTATATAGGTATTAGATCCCACAACATAATACATGTATATTCATGGCAAGTTGTCTTGTTGTATTCTCCTTACCTATGCTTAACAACAAAACTATATTGCATGGAATTTACGTCTTTCAGATTAGCAGAACAGACGTTGCCATGAAATGGTCAGCCTTCACTGATGTCGAAGAAGAGGGACATATAGCCCATCTGAGTGGCATTTCATATTATGAGGTAGCGCTAGGTATGAAAGATCAAACGGTTCACTTTAACTCAAATATTAGTTGAACACATCTCTCAACATAGTTTGCCTTGCAGATTATAGAGCAGAATATGCTGTACTTTAAATACATCTTAAATACAATTGTAAATTGAATAACAGTGGCCTGCCATGAGTGTTTACTTTCCCAGGATCTGTTCCTGGTGGGCAGGATGTCGTCAAGTTCACCAATGTTGGATCTGTCGACCACTATACACTACACAGTCTTCATCTACACACTGGAAACACATACTATGCCTCAGTGAAAGGTACTACAAGATGGATATAACATAGAAACAAGGACACAGTATCACTTACATATATATATATATATATATATATATATATAGAGAGAGAGAGAGAGAGAGAGAGAGAGAGAGAGAGAGAGAGAGAGAGTCCACGTCGTCAGACATTCTGTGGATATGGATCATACAATCTATTATCAACCAGACGACGTGGATTCCTCTGTGTCATGCAACGTTTAGGATTTCCATTATGCATGTGTCGATATTCTGATTTGGCGTCCACACTAACACCCATGATGCTCTCATTTCAGCAACGGATTTTGTCAACATGACGACAGTGGCTGTGTCAGACGGTTTCCTTGTGGACTTCACTGCACCAGCCTTGACGGATCAGCTCGTACAACTAGAGGGACGCTACATCACATCACGTGTGGTGCATATCTGGTAATATTGAATGTAAATTGTTAATTGAATTGTCATTAGCATGCTTTTCTCATTATTTGTCACATAAGTTATATGTCACTATTTGTGAGCGTAGTTGTGGAATCAAATAGGCAAACACATGTACATTGCGTTCTTCATGAAGAGGAATACTCTTAAGTGTGACATGTTACACTTGTACTTACAGTGGACATATTGCCTGGACATCTGATTCGACTGTAGTTCAATACGTTGAAAGATGACCCTGCATGACATCTGTTACAGCTGGACCAACGTGTTCTCGGACGAGGAGAGTGGAATAAAGGAATATGTGGTTTCCATGGGTACCAGACCTGCGTACGCTGACGTATCAGCCACTTTTGTCACTGACCAGGATTGCCTGGACTTCGATACATCTAACAACTTGGTGGATGGTCATTCATATTATATTTCTCTGAAGGTACATGTGAAGAAGAGTGCAACATCGTTACTCGTGTATTTCGATATGGCATATACGTATATCAGTGTCTATAGTGTAATAATCAATATTCTAGGTATTCAGAAGGGTGTAAATATATTTACACAGGACGGGTTTATAACACATTTTTCATTTACAAACCGTATCGATTATTACTTGTTGCATGTTTACTAAACAATATATATATATATGTGCATTGTTAGATATAATGCCTGCTACTGGCAACAGGGAATCGTAACTACGATCAAGCATACATTTGTATCACCCAGGCCTTCAACGGTGCAGGTCTGTACACACTGTCCTCGTCACGGCCTGTGGTTGTGGACACCACGCCTCCATCTACTGGCCACGTCTTCGACGGAGTACAGTCAGCTGCCACACCTGATGACAAAGACAAGGATTACATCACCAGTGTCTCAGAGATGGGGGCCTACTGGGAAGGCTTTGATGACCCACACTCAAGTGTCGCCATGTACAAGGTCAAGGTCGGGACTTGCACAGGCTGTGATGACAAACTGGAGGAGATAGGGTTTGGAAACACAAAAAGTAGGGTTTCATTGTGTTCAGATAATTGTGGAAGTCAGGGCTAATTCTTAGTGAAGTATAATCAACCTAGCAATCAAAATACGGATTTTTGTAGCATACACTGTCGTATAAGATAACACTTTAATATACTGATGATGTTAAATTTTCAAATGATTCAGACATCAGCCTTCAGCATTTACTGCTCTCCCCCGGAGTGAAGTACTTCACCACAGTGACAGCCTGTAACACGGCAGGCCTCTGCAGCAGCTCCTCCACCTCAGACGGTGTCATCCTGGACAGCTCCCCGCCAGTTACTGGCACAGTGCAAGATGGCACAGGCGACGTGGACATACAGTTCCAGGCGGCCAGGTGAATGTTGCCGAGAGCGCTTCGAAAATGTATTTACTTGATTTTCGCCACCTCGCACTGCCTAAATATATGCTTGTTTCAGGACATTTCTGGGATGCAAATGGCGAGGTTTCTACGACCCTGAATCTGGGTTAGACCACTTTGAATGGCACGTGGGGATAACCCCAGGAGGTGACGAGATTCTCGCATCCAGGAATGCTGCTATGGAGGAGGTCATCTTCCACATCCTGTCACGTGACCAACAGCTGCCAGTGGGGCAGATGATCTATACTACTGTCCGATGTTTCAACAAAGGAGGTATCATGATCTGTTCTGTTAACTTCAATGTAAGAACCTATTTCATCTTTGTACATTCAGGATGTTTATATACAGATGTTAGTTTGAACTTATGATTGATTTTTAAATCCTTGTTGCAGGACTGTATATAGAAACGACGTCCAATGGAGTTATGATAGAAAACAGCCCACCCGTTGTTGTGAGCCCACCGACGGCGAGAGATGGTATTGCTTCGGTTTTTTCCAACACTACCATCAGTCGGACAGCTCTGAGTCTACACTGGGAGTTCCAAGACGCTGATTCCTTCATAGAGCGTCAATACCTCTCCTTATCATCCCACCAGCTTGGAGAGATAGACAGTTCTAATCTGGAGGTACAGTGAAGCTACCGGAAAATCATTTTATCAAAGAAACCTAATTATTCCTTTTTCATGAACAATGGAAAACAACGTTCTGCTTTTACAGCTTCTAAATATTTACCAGCTATAGCTGACATAGACAACTTTTGAGCTCGATGTATATACATTTTACAAATATTTGCTATAAATACTAGTGTATAGTTAGTTAATTGATATCTGGCCATCGTGAATACAGAGTATCATTTGTTAATATCATATTCTATGTCAACGTTGACCGTCCACAGTTGCATACATCGGATCAGTTTTAACACACGGGAAAAAAGAAGTATGCCCACCAACATCGATCTTAATGTATCGCCAACTTGTAATTACATGTTGTTTAAGCACGACAATGTTAGTGTCCCCGTAGACCGTTCATCAGTTTATATATTGCCTTCACAATGCTTAGCCAATTTCATGATTGCTCCCCAGATTCCAGGTTTTATTCGGGAATACACATACACAAACCTGGACTTGCATGATGGAAGTAAATACAAGGTAAAGGTCACAGCTTGCAACATGGCTGGCCTCTGTTCATCAGCAGCTACTGAGGACATTTTGGTTGACAGCTCTAAACCCAAAACAGGTAAAATATTGCTGTGCACCATCAAATAATGCGACAGTTTTAATTGAATGAATATGTAAAAACATTGCAACTGTCTTTCCACTGCAGGTACCTTCGCCATAGAAACTGATCATGCAGCGAAACTCACACGGCATCAATCTGGCTGGATGACATGGAACAGGACCAGTCTAAACCTTGCCTGGCTTGGCTTCTCTGATCTACATTCTGGAATAGACCATTACCTTGTATCAGTAGGATCTCAAGTGTACGGAACTGATTACAATAAAGTAGGTTACACACTTGCACATTGCGATTGATTAATGACATGTTTTTTTATCACACTTAAAAGTATATAACTGATATGTACTAATATGGTGTCGTGAAATGTTCTTGACGTTCTCACATATTATTACAGGGCAGTGTACTAACAAAAGTCTCCCACGATTCATCTGGAGTTGCCAATGGCGACGAGGGAGTCCTCCAGACGTTCAATGTACCCACCGAGACCCTGCCACCAGAGGGGACTGTGTTTGTAGCCATCTGGGCTGTGAATGGGGTAGGTTGCATACTTGAATGTGTACACATACGCGCACTAAATCACGTGAGTGCATATTGTGAGCTTTTTTATCTGAAATCGTCGATAGATAATAACGTTCATCTAACTGTTTCTCTGTGACTACTCCTAGGTTGGCATACAAAGTGATGCCTACCACGCTGAACTGCTCCTGGAGGCGGACTCTTCTCTGTGGCTGGTGAGGAGGTGCCAGGCCTACAACTGTGAGGGCCACTGTGTCTGTGCTGTGCAGGGCGGTACCTGTACTGACGATACATGTGTGAGATCTACGACAGGTTTGTCTCTCGTGTAATACACATACACTAGTAAACAACACCAGTTCACAAAGAGTGGGTGAGTGAGTGAGTTTGCGTAGAACAGTATTCCAGTTATATCACAGCATGTTAGCTTGATGGTTAAGAAAATGGTTGCGTGCATCACTTTGTGGAATCCAGGAGCATGGGTGTAGGGCTGACAAACAAGGAACTTAAGCAGATTAGCACCAATAATAATATAGGTTTCTGTTACACCTATTGGTGGCGCCAAACACGAACGGGTCACGCGTGCTCATTATTTGGCGCATAGTTTGATAGCCAATACACCTGGTCGCTCATTATACCATACATGATAGTTTACCTCCTTTGTTTCATTATTGTTCTCAAATTACCATATTATCCAGTGCATGTTGTTTACAGGACCCAACACAATCACTGTCGTAGACACCATCGATCTCTTGTTAGCAACTGGTGCTGCTGACGTTGACATTTCTCCTTTCAACACCTTCATGGCGGCCACCTGGTCTGTGACAACACCTGGACTGCAAGCAGCACGGTATGCATATATTATATACTGACCTCATATACAAGCCTGCACCACACTACTTATTTATATTATGAAAATAGTAAATATTCATCTGAAATGTACAAAACGAGACACATGATCATGATGTATCTGTTTTGTTTGTTTAACGCCACACTCAGCAATATTCCAGCGGTCCGACAACCCAATCCCGTTAGTCAAAGTCAAAGTCAAAGATGTTTATTGTATCAAAGGCCATCGGCCCATATACAAGTTCAGATAAATACAGTGGGTGAGAATTTACAGATTGGGAGATACAACAAAAATTATATAAATATAACATTCATTTAACAATCGGTGATAATCATGAGGACTTTCTAGGGTGAGGTAATTAAAATTATGAATTTCCACTCAACATGTTATTTCGTAGTTCCATCCCATGTTTTACAAATAAAGACAGTTTAAACATTACATCGGCATCATTCGATGACAAAATAGAAACAAAAGCTATTCTACTTGTCTTAGATAAGAAACATTCTGGTATATATTTAGTACGTAATTCTGCATAATAAGGACATTCAAAGGTAAAATGTATTTCGTCTTCTATTGCAGAGTTACAGAATGGACAAATTCTTTGTATTCTTTCAAGTGATATATTCCGTCCATAGTTAATCATAAGTTTTGAAAAGCCAAGTCTGTATTTAATATATCCATTTCTTAGGTGACTATTTGTTAAAACTGATAGATATTTTTCTGGCTCTAATAGAGTCTTAAAAGTTCTGTACAAATCATAACGTGAACTATTCTCCAAGTTGCATTGCCACCCTTGATAGAACATATTTATTGCTATTTTACGAAAATCATTTAGAAATAAATGTTGATCACCAACAGATTGGTTAAGCCATATATACCCATATCCATGTGAGAATAATAGTGTCCTAATATGCGATACCCATGTAACCTTACCGATACTATCTAAATGAAAGAGCATGTTATAAGCTTTTTTCGGAAGCCGATGTTCTGGCATACGGATGATATTAAACCAATATTTTAAACACTTTATTTGTGAATTAATGTAAAGTGGGTATCTTCCACATTCTCCATATATCATATTATTTGGTGTTGCTATTCCAACGCGAAGAAACTTTTTACATGCCAGTAGGTGAATTCTTTCTAAACATTCATATCTTCGGTAACCCCACACTTCAGATCCATACAATAAAATTGGCTGTATTTGAGTATCAAATAATTTGAAAAATACTTTTGGAGTAATAACTCCAAGTTTATGTGAAACAGACATTATATTAAGTAAAGCTCGTTTCCCTCGCAGTGATAAGTCAGATACACATTTGTTCATATTTAGTGTTGAATTAAACATTATGCCGAGATACTTATAACCATTAACTACATTAATTTGTTGTCCATTTAAGTACCATCTTTCCCTAAAATTTAAAGGACCCCCTTTTCTGAATACTATAATTTCTGTCTTATCTAAATTTACAGATAAATTCCATTCCTTAGTATATTTATCTAATACATTCAACTGATTCTGTAGACCAATAACAGTGTCAGATAGTAAAATAACATCATCGGCAAAAAGGAGCATAAGAAGTTCAAGGATGTCAGGATACATCTGTATACCATGCTTGCCGTTACTTGAGATTTCATAATATAATTCGCTTATGAAAAACGAAAATAACAGAGGACTCAGTATACATCCCTGACGTAAACCAGATGGGCAATCGATAAAATCAGTAACACCATAATCACTACGTACACATGACTTGATATTTGAATACATTGATTGTATTATATTAAACATCTTCCCTTGTAGTCCAGCTTTTCTTAAACAACACCATAATTTATAACGATCAACTGTATCAAATGCCTTTTTAAAATCAATAAAAGCAACGTAAACCTTGTGTTTACGACGTGTTAGACATTTTTGAATTGCAGCATATAATGTAAAAATATGATCTACGGTTGAATAATTTTTTCTAAAACCAGCTTGAACTTCCGGTATCTTATCTCTCATATTTGCCCAGTTAGTAAGCCTGTTATTCAAAACAGAGGTAAAAATTTTCCCCAGAACACTCATTAATGAGATCCCCCTGTAGTTGTCAGGGTTTCTCGGATCGCCTTTTTTATGTAGAGGGACTATTTCTGAACAAGACCAACTGTTTGGAAATATTTGATTATCAAAGAGTTTGTTGAAACATTTATGAAGAAATGGCATAATATCTAATTGGGAACATTTAAGCATTTCTATCAGCACTTGATCGGGCCCGGCGGATTTTCCTTTTTTTAACTTATTTATTGATGATGTAATTTCATGTTCAGTTATCGTAGAATTTAGTATGAATGCATCAATATCTGTAAACTGATTAGAACTGAGTTCATTTTCATCATCTAAGTGAGGAGAAAAAACATTGTCATTTGCAAAAACCTCTCTAAAATGGCACAGCCATTCTGCTTTCGTTATATGATTCTTCTGTCTGGGTTTGTTTTGTAATGATCTTATCTGTTTCCAAAAGCTAGATTGACTATTTATGCTTCTATGCAATCTTTCAACTGATTTCTTACGTGAAATGGATTTAAATTTTCTGCAACAAAATTTATAATGATTTCTTTGTCTACAGTACACAATTCTGTTAGCGACTGTTCTTTGTGTTCTAAATCTCCTAAGTGCCCTACGTGTTTCTCGTTTCGCTTGTCTACATTCTAGACTTAGTGGTTTGTGATTGGCAAATTGTGGATTATGTCGTATTGTCTTTTTCATGCAGTTAGCAGAGTCTAATACAATGTCGACAAAGTGGCTAATTGCGTTTTCAATAGCATTATCAATTTCTTTAAGGACCATTTCTTTGTTTTCAGTAAAATTATATCTCAGGTTATCAAGAAACAAACTGGAGTAATGATCATTCCATACAATTTTCTCTGATGCTTGTGGATCCATACATGAATCATTATTGCACCTCTTACCCATATTTGGAAATCTACACATCAATTCTAATGGAAAGTGATCAGAATCAGATCGATCACCGACAGTGAACATATTGATAAACTGAAAAAAATCTGGTGAACTTATAAAATAATCGTTCACACTAGATCCATGTTGGCTACAATAAGTAAATTCCCCATTAGTATCACCATATACACGTCCATTTACGATGTAAAGTTTAAAAACATAGCATAAATCCAACAACATTTGACCAAATCTATTTACAACTGTATCCTGTGAAGTACGATCCTCAACAGGGTCATCCTCCTCCTCAGGGAAAGGGGAGGTGTGATTGAAGCTATCATCATCATTGCTAATATCAGGGTTATTTCTCTCACCTGTTCTAGCGTTCATATCTCCACAGATTAAATTGTATGAATTTGAAAACATTTCATCATTATCTATTAAGAATTCTTCTACTTTTACAATGTTACTATTGGTGTTTACATGATTATAATAAGGAGACCCCATTGGAGGGATATAGGTACATAACAAATTCACATTTTTGTCAATTCTAAATAAATCTTTAGATAACGAGAGACCAATTATGTTGTCTCTATCTGCTTGTATAACATTACAGAAACTACTCAGTGATTGACGTACACACAGACAAATACCACCTGATAAACGTCCATAGTTGGATAACTTAACTGCAGGACAGTAAAAAGTATCATATCCATGTAGCCAATGTTTTCCTGGAATATTTACAACAAATGTCTCAACAAGGCACACAATATCAAATTTACTGATGTAAGTTAAAAAGTCAACATCATTTATTTTGCTGAGAAGACCACCAATATTCCAACATACAAAGGAGAACGCGTCTCTGTTGACATCAGTAACACTGTGAGCGCGAGTATCACCGGTGTGCACATCGGAGGTTCCTTGTGGGAGATGATCCGGGCCATGGCCATTGTGCTATTTCCCAGGGCGCGACTTACTTCTGTTTGGTCGAAGTCTGTCCGACATTCGGTTTTCTGAGTCTTGATTTGTAGATCCACGTTGGTCAGCCGACGTACGAGGCATCGTAACAAGCTTGCCATTCTTGAAGAAGCCGAAATTTCCCGTTCCTTTTAGGGCTTGCAATTGTTCGCGTTGACGCGTGGTTAAATCACTTCCAATTCCAAGTCCATTCGATTTAAATGTCGCAATAATTGCAAAACTGGTACTCTCCGACGACAAGGTACGAACATTGAAAGCGAATCCCGTTAGTCGCATCTTACGACAAGCAGAGTCGCCTTTTACGTCAAGCATGAGTTGCTGAAGACCTATTTTAATCCGGATCTTCGCGGATCATGTGATTGATTGCATGAGCATCGATCCACGCAATTGGGATACGATGACATGCATCAACCAAGTCAGCGAGCCTGACCACCCGATCCCGTCAGTCGCATCTTACAGGCATGGGTTGCTGGAGACCTTTTCTAACCCGGATCTTCACGGGTACCTGATGGGGATGATATAGGGTACGTAGCAGTGCCAACAAGAGCCAATGCAAAAGGTCATGTGCAATACCATGTATCATCTTCTTTGCTCCCATGGTCATGTATTTGTTGGTTTGCAGCTATGAATACAGTATAGGAGAGAGTGATGAAGAGGAGCCAGGAGGAGTGTTTAATACATTGACTGGGAGAGTGTGGTTCGATGCTGGTCAACAAACATCAGCTATTATATCATTGGAAGCAGGTTATTGTATGTTATATGTTCCTCTGACTTAAGGGCTGTTTCGTCTATTTTCAGGTATATTTGTATGCTTCGTATGATCTAACACTTTATTTGGGCTCCTTAATATGAGGGTAGAATATGATCACCATCGTCACTTCTGCAATTGATTATGTACTATAAGATACTCCAGAGACTTTGTATCTGATATAACCCCTTTGTACCAACAAAAAATGATTCCCGGTTCGGTCAAGGTCATGTTTATTCCGAAACCAAAATGTGATGTCATTAAACCAGAAGTGTCATAAGTAGCTCGAGGCATACGGCTTTTGTTTAAAGGCCTTTTGCATGTGCATGCGTATTAACAAACCGGAAATGGTGGCACATTCCTTCTTTCTTTTCTAATTATTGTGTTGCATTTAACAACATAAGGCATTGACGAGGCGGTATTGGGGTTTATTATGTTCAGGTGTTCCTTGGCCTGCCTTTGTGTGTTCATACAATGCTGATGTCTGATTTCAGGCAAGTCTCTGACACCTGGAATGAAATACTCCTTCTTTGTGAAAGCGTGGTATAATAACGGAACTTTCAACATATTTAAATCCGATGGCGTCACGTTTGATACAAGGCCCCCAACAGTTACAAAGAAGTTGGGAAGAATCGTAAGTGCATCTTGTATAGCAGCCTGTATCATGCCCTTCTAGAGTATGAGTGTTTACGTTTATCACTTTGTCATGGCTGACTGGTACACATTTTGCAACAGGTAAAGGAACTCCGAGGCCTCAATGAAACAAAAGACACAGACTTCCAGACACAGAACAACACACTTGTCGTCAAGTGGACCGGACACTTCCTACTTGGTCTAAGCAGCATTCATCGATACAGGGTGTACATCAGCACGCACAGAGGCGGTAGCTATTGATTTAATTCATTTTCATGCGAGTTCTTTCAGCTCTCGTGAGTATCTGCAAGACAAATAAAGGCATGTATGTATGGTGCTATGACGTTCTCCTGAGCTGAAGGCTCTCGCCCATAATGAAATAATTTACTTCAAGAGTTGTATCCACATACACACACACACACACACACACACACACACACACACACACACACACACACACACACACACACACACCAAGTGACCACCAAGTTGGTTGTTGAGTATACTAATTAGTTTATTACTTCGTATTCTTTGATTATCAGCAACGATTCAAATGGTCGACCGTGGTAAGAAATGTTGATGTATTTACTACATGTGGTTTTATGTCAACGCTCTCAGGTCACAGTATCCATGCTTCGGGGGACCTGGCCACCACCAGCTATACAGCAACAGGTCTCAGTCTACATCCAAACACAATCTACTACTCCAGTGTCCTGGCTTACAACAAGGCTGGTCTGGTCAGCTGGGCCTACTCTGATGGTGTACAGGTGGACGTTCTGCCTCCAGTGACAGGCAGAGTGAATGATGGACCAGGTACAGTGATGCATCTTTAGCTGTGAATGAAAAGACAATACAGAAGTAAAGTGATTTTATGACTGGATTTTTTAGCTATGCATTACACCATATGCTATAATATATGATCTCACAATCTATTGTTTCTGATTGTTAAATATTTCGAGAACTTGCAGATATCAACGACAAGGATTACCACAGTTCTATATTTGAAGTATCCTCCTCCTGGTATGGCTTCTCCGACACAGATTCCACAATCGTCAAGTATTTGTGGTGTGTGGGGACGGCCAACGACACAACAGACTGCAGTGTGATGGACTGGCTGGATACAGGACTACACACTTCCTTCAGTAGATCGCTTCCAACTCCATTATCTATTGGTGAGTGAGTTAAACTTTAACTTCACATCGGCAATATATCAGCCATATCGTGACGAATCTATTGGTAAGTATATGACATACTAGACACACAAAATATAATTACAGGATCCATTGATACATTTCCTTACATCCCCTACATACTTACTGTATTTAAAGGTACAAAATAGAGCAAAGTGTTTGCCGTAGATGCTGTTGGTCTCATGCCCTGATGTTGCTCTGTCTGATGTACATAAATAGTACATAGTACATAAAAACCATGCTTCAATTTGAAAAGTAAGTTCAAATGAAGGCTGAAAGTTAAATACTATTCTGTTAACAATGTAATGTTCATCGCATTTGATGTCCTTACAGGTACAAGAGTTTGGAGCAAGGTGTATGCTGTAGATGCAGTTGGTCATGCCTCTGATGTAGCTGTGTCTGATGGAGTTGTCATCGACACTTCTCCACCTGAACTTAAGGCTGTGGCATATCTTGGAGACAACCTGGTGAAGAACCCATCATTCGAGGTAGACGATATTACTGGTCGTACCACACGCTGCAACCTTGTCATACCGACATCGTGGGAAACTGACACAGCGTCCTGTATCAAGGTTCTGGCGCCCGAATCACCTTTAGCTAAAGACGGATATATGTTTGTGTCCATCAGTGGGAGAATTCACCAAAGGATCTCTGGTCTTGAGACTGGGAGGCAGTACAAGCTGACTCTGCATACTGGATACCCAGAAACTGTTTCCAACAACCACAGGTCGGTTGATGCAATAGTTACAATAGGCAGTGAAGTCTTCAGCTTTACACTTGACCCTAACCTCTGTAGAGGCACCTGCATTGCCGGAGATCACTCAGTCGTCCTCTGGAACAAACACACATACAGGTTCACAGCCGTAGATACCAGTGCAGTACTGAACATAGCGTCATCGTCCAGGATGATGGAGTTTGTGCTGGACCATGTGAGTGTTCAGACTGTGGACTATGTTGCTGGTCCGGACAGTGTGGATACAGAGGAGCATCTGGTGGTCCACTCTGTGTTCCTGTCTCACTGGTCATCTCTACATGCTTCCTGGCACTTTGTGGACCAACAGTCTCCAATTACACAGTACAAGTGGGCGATTGGTTAGTTTACCCATACATTACAATATGTCAATGAGAGAACTAGGGGTAGCATCATGCTCAGATCAGATCCACCTCAAATGTGTTCATTTTCATATTAAAGTCGCCAACTATTTTATTGTGTCACAAATGCTAACATACATGCTATTGCTTTTACTACGATAAACCATATTGATAAACACCGTACCTGTTTAATTCCAACATAAGATAACTGGATGGACGCCAACATAACTGAATCACTTGATTCAAACAACACCAGCTGATAGATACAAATTGGCATAACGTTGGTTGTACACTGTCACTGTCACTCTCCACTGTAACAACATCAACCCTTTTTCAGGCACAGTTCCGGGTGGCAGTCAGCTACAGAAGTACACGAATGTAGACCGGCAAACTCAGGCGGTTATTTCCGGTCTGAAGCTGACCCACAACTCCACTGTTTACATCACTGTCATGGCAACGAATGCTGCTGGACTGACCAGTGTTTCCAGTGGACATCCTATTGTTGTAGATCTGACGCCTCCAAAGTTTAGTTATATCAATGATGGTCCAGGTAAATGCTACGAGACATGTGTATGAATGTCATTTTACGACATTAAACGACAAAGTAATATTCCAGCTATATCACAACGACATGCATCTGAACGGATCTTCTGCAAAGAAGTGATCACAAGGACAGTAATCCAAACCGTAGGGTAACAATCACAGCTAGGTCGTATGTTGAAATCCTCATACGTGTGTCTCAGAATCTCTGTGGGGAGGAACAAAACAAAACTAACGTAGACTTTATGACGAAGTAAATACCTAAAACCTGTTGATGGATATGAAAATGAGTATAAATTATTTTTGGGGGGAAACAATCGTGAATAGTTATTGGAGCTATAGTGTACACATGCGCCTTTTGGATCAATTAGTCAGTTTACTTTGTCGCTCATTTAAGTTTTTATCCATGATAAATGTTTGTGTTTAGGGTCAGATGAAGATCATCAAATATCAAGTGTGGTGAGCGTCAACTGGAAAGTGGCAGATGAAGAGTCTAGTGTCGACCACTGTGACTGGGCTATTGGTAGGTAGATTAACATTAAGTTTTTGTGCGTAATGTACGTTAGCATCCTATGATGTGCACATTCTATCGTTTTGATACATTGTTACCACACAGGAGGAAGCAAGGGAAGCGATGACATCATGACATTCCGTAAGGTGCCTTCAGGGCAGTCCACAGCTACGATGGACATAAATGATGTGTTCAACACTTCGTCAAGAACAGTTTACACAACAGTGCGATGTTTCAACAAGGCAGGCTTAGTGGTGGCTGCGACGACGGACGGGGTTGAAATTGTCAGGGAAAAGAGCAAGATATCGTTACAAGAGTTTGGTGTCTTGAGTGGGACCCAGAGTGAATCCATTTACTCTGATAGAGGGATGTGTCATCAGGATCGGAACAGAGTCAGACTCCACTGGAGTCAAGCAGACCGACAGCTGCGGTCCACGGTGGTACGTGACACATTGTATTTATGAATGTTGTGAAACATCAGCATGATCTGAAATAATGATGAAACGAGTTATTACCTTGAAGGAGCGAACTTCCATTATGCTGAATAAGAACATTATCATTGACTGCCTTCATGCATTACACATAAAGACATCCAATACCCTTTTATGTTTTATTTCAGGTTTCAATTGAAGGTGAAGGACGTACCTACCAGGGTGATATCCCAAACTACTTGGATTATACATACGCGACATTGGCCGATGTACACTTGAAGATTGGTACGTCTTACAACGTCTGCGTCGTTCCTGTTGACATCTTTGGCACAACTGGAGAAAGAACCACTTCATACTTTACAGTCCCTGATCAACCCCCAACTGTATCTGGTTAGTACTGATAATGTTACGCTATCATCTTTAGTTCGTTGTTTTAAGATGACATTTTGTACAACGGTGTATTATATATATTTAACTTGTCAGGTTGTGTAAAACGGCCAAATGTGAAATATGATCTCAACTTTAGGGATTTTGTTATCATTTTGAGAAAATCGCACTCTTTACCAAATATGATGCAGCCCTTTTTCTACAATGTGCTATTATAAATATGGCACTAGCCAATTTCAGTTCACATGAATGTAAACAAACATTATTTTTTTTATTTTGGTAACTACTTATCAATTATGTGATGTTCAGAATCGTCATCAAACGAAAACGTGTCAGTGATGTTATAAACAAGAACAATTGCAGGGATATTCACAGGATTGTCCTAAGCTATAGTGTTAACTATAATAATTATTGGTATATATAATCAGTTGGTAAGGGTATAAAATCACATAATTGGACAGGAATCATTGAGGAACGAATTCCCAGATGCCCTTAATTGTCCTTAAACAATACGGAATAACTAAAATGTAATTTAATCTGAAGAACTTTGCAACCATATTTCAGGTTTCGATGTTCTGTTTTAGATTCTGGACGCATATTTTTGACACAAAACAACACAAAGATCATGGTGTCGTGGAGAAACATGTTTATTTCCCCTTGGAATGATCTTGATTATGAAGTTCACATAGGAACATTGCCTGGAGGAGCCGATATTGTTGACAGAACATTGACAAAGGAGGAAGAGCTTGTCATGAAACTTAGCTCCAGACAAGTGGAAAGTATTTACGTCATGATAACTGCTATCGATGTCTGTGGAGCGTACACTCATCGTTCACAGAAATTCAAGGTCAAGCAAGACTAGCTTTTACATGATATATATTTGTTTTTTGTTTAATTTCCTAGTAACTTAAGAGACCTCATACGGTTTTACGCCACCAATAATCATTTGTATAAATCACTTGAAATAAAAATAGAATGTAGTTTATTTATTTAACCCGAAGACTGAGCAAACACTGGAATTTATGCTTGTATAAAATATAGTACTGCGACACAAATGTATATCAGACACGACGGACATTTAACAAACATGAATTTTATGTCCATGTGCTTCAGGTTACTAGATTGTCTTTAAATATGTTGATCATGTTAACTTTATTGTACCTATGCGTATACGCTATGATATATCTCGGAGGTGAAATATCTGTACCCGGTACATGTATATTTAAATAATACAACGTGATTCTTAATAAGTATATTCAACATTCAACATATATACGTCTTTCTTAATGCCTTTATAAATAAAAACAATTATCTGTTCTGATTATGTGATATGTCTTATTTTTATCTACGTACAATTGATAGACCTTGAAAACTAGATTCTTTATCTCACTTGATGACTGGTGACATAGTTTGAATCTTTCATCAGGGATAAACAAAATATTATACCAGGATAAGTCTAGACAAATATTGATGAACAATTTGCATAATAGTAACTTTAAGGCATTTTGGAGTACATTAAAGATATCAGGTTCGTCTCTTGTGAAGCCTAACATATCTATGGAGGATCGGTATGTCTATTTTGGAAATATTTATATGGATCAGGACAAAAAGTATGTTGATCAGTATATATATACCAGGGAGGTGTCCTGTATCTCGGACGAGTGTACATCAGCTATCCTCGACTCACCGATCACTATCGAAGACGTGAATGAGGCATTATGTAGTCTAAAGTGTGGAAAGTTGGCGGGTAGTGATGTGATAATCGCAGAATTTCTTGTACACTCCAGGGATATACTGGTTCCATATCTTGCTATTATGTTCAATATTTTGTTTAATAAGTGTTCGTTTCGAACTTTGTGGTCAGTTGGACTAACTGTCCCTTTACATGAAAAGGGGGATCTGAATACGGCTCCTAATTATAGAGGCATCACCGTGCTTAGTGTTGTCAGTAACGTATACATTTCATTTATCAAAACTAGATTAATATTTTGGAGCGATGCTTATAATAGGGTGGTTCAGTCGGCTATTCAACTGTTGATTATATATTACATTCAGTCGCTAATAGAATTTTAGCAAAACATAGGTGAATTATATGCTGCTTTTTTTGGTTGACTTCACCAAGGCGTTTGATCTGGTGAAGCGATCAAAGTTATGGTCATTTTTGCTTCAAAAAAGAATATCAACAAAAATGATTGGCTGTATTAGATCAATTTATCACTCTGTAAAGTCATGGGTAAAATATAATTACTCCTTTTCTGAGATGTCTGAGTCGCCAAGGTTGTGTCTTGAGTCCTGTTTTATTTTCAGTATTTATAAATGAACTGGCAGAAAACAACAGAGTTATCTTGTTATCCAGGTATCCAACTACATCCGGAATTAACGCAACTGATTTAACTTTTGTTTGCTGATGATGTAATTCTTTTGTCGAACCCTACTTCTGGTCTTCAAAAACGAATAAACGGATAAGATGAGTATTGTAAGGAATATAATTAAGTAGTAAATTTGAACAAAACATCTTTTGTGGTTGTCTTTAAATATGGATGCAAGGTTTCTATGCACGAAAAATGGTATTTTCAGGGTAACCAAATGGAGCGCGGATCTTTATATAAATATCTGGGATAATATTTGTAGAAAATTTGTCCTGGAAGAATCACTATGACAGTTCTACTCTACAATCGAAAAAGATTGTGTTTGGTATTTTAAAATCATTTTCAAAGTTGAAGCCTCTCACACATGATGTATGTTTTAGGATATTTGACTCGAAAGTAATGTCTGTTCTCCTATACGGAGCTGACATATGGGGATTAGCTTGTAATAGTAACTCTGAGAAAGAAAAAGTGCAGATCTTTGCGGGAAAATATTTCCTTGTTGTAAGATTATCCACACCCAACCATATTGTCCATGGTGAATGTGGAAGGTATCCCATAGGCTTATAAACGTTGTGTTAAATACTGGTATAAGTTGATGTGTATGCCAACCTCTCGTTTAAAAAAATGTTATAATTTACTAGTATTGGATGCTATAGCTAGCCACGGAAAAAATAACTGGGTTTCAAAGTTGAAATTATTAATATATATATAGTGGGATTTCGATTTGTCTGGGAAGATCAGCCTATTGGAAGTATAGAATCTTTTGTTTCGGAGTTTATGGCGAGATCACAATATAAAATGTATGTACCAGTAGGATTGGCATGCCTCCCTATCTCTAGGCTCTAAAAGGGTTCTCGTACTTCTTATTTAAACCCATTTTTGGTGTTGAACAATATATTTGGCTGTATTACTATAAACAAGTTTCGTGTGGCTTTGGAAAGGTTAAGATGTGGCTCACATCGTCTAAAAAAAGAAACAGGTAGATACGTGAGAATGCCAAGAAACCAAACAGTATGTGATATATGTAGCTGCGGTTATGTTGAAAGTGAATACCATTTTATATTGATATGTACACGTAGTGCATATGAACTCCAACGGCAATTGCATGTCCCCAAAAGGTATTATATATTTCCTTGTTTACACAAATTTGACATGTAAATGTCTGAAAACAATTCGAATGCTTTACTAAATATGGGAATGTATATTTTCTATGCTAATAATTTAAGAAAAGAAATGTTAAAAATTGGCTGTAGCACCGTTGCAACATGTTATAGGCCGATGGCCTATACTTCGTGAATAAATGATGAGATGATTTCACGTTCTGTTCCAGTTTTGCGTTTCAATCTGGAAATAACCTCGTAACATCAGTTACTTGTATTTTTAAGATTATTGAATTTTCAAGATAGGGAAACGAGTGATAGGAAAACGCGGCATTGTCGTAGTAAAGTAAAACAACTACAGACCGCGAGGAGTCAAACACGTTGAGGGACAGATTCCGGTCATCATCGAGCATTTTGGCTGAGCTTTGATCAGCATCCAGAAGCGCTAATGTAATCAAAATCGGTTACAAGAGGCATTGCAAGAAGTCGTCGCCCAATGATTTCACACACGTGATCACACACGTTAACGAATGAACCGGGGAGCACTGATTTCATTGAAAGGAACTGAACTTTAAAGTACAGAAATATCATTTTGATGTTACGAGTCGATTATCAACTCACGTATAGTCTAAGGTTATATAATGTACATTATCTTGCACTTTAGGGAATATTATACTGTACAATACATATTATTTGTTTAGTATTATTATAAAACCGGTAACTTGACATATCATCCGTCTTAACCATATTTTCTCAATATTTGTGAACTTTTGGAAGAGACCATTTTGGGGGAGGGTAAAATTAACCTGTTTGTCATTTTGATATATTTGAGGTGCATTTTCATGGTTTAGCATAGGAAATGAGGTATTACTATTGCATGTTGAAGTGTTTGGAGGCCAGCCACACAACAATGAAGGGAAATGTTTGTAGAGTTTTTAATCTTCCATTTGGTAGAGTATATGTTTTGACGGGGCATTTTGTAAGTCCATGTGAGAGAATTCCTTTAATTTCCTGAAGTAATGTCGAAAACAAATAACAAATGTATGTTTGAAGCATCATTTATTATTTCTGAGTTTTGTTTATTTACAAAATATTACCATTTTGAAGCTAGCACCACGTGGTGAACTTGCCAATTTACATCGATAAACGGATATTAGAGGGCTTCCTCCACAGTCTTTGTTTGTTCAAAACAAATATCTTAATGGGAATTGGGCAGAGAGATGTATGCTGGAGGTAGCGACAGTAATATCAGGGACGTACTTATGTCTCATTCTTGATTTCTATGAAACATTCTATACCCTCTGCATTTACCACATCTCTTTTGAATTTGCTATGCCTTTTTCAATTTCGCAAGGATCGTGTCAGTAAGTCTGTGATTAATATGTCTGTTTCAAGCATAAGACAACATTCACTTCCTCATTCCTTAAGCATGACCTGGTGTTAGAAAGGCGCATGTGGCTATTTATATTCAGCTTATTCATAATGAAGCAGTGTGTTTTGCTATTTAGGAAACAGGAAGTACCAACTGTCAATAACAAAAGACTGAAATAATTTAATAATGTCTCGGTCGTATGTCAGATTACCAACTCTCAGTATGCGTGGAGAATACAATGTGCACAATGTGCTTCCAATTGGCACACATATCAGAATATAAGAAATACGGCTACACCACTGTGGCAGAAGTATCGAATGTTAACGTTATGAGGTAATTAGATAAGTGTGTTTTCTTTGTTTGTTTGTTTGTTGTTTTCTCAGCAATATTCAAGAAAATATGGCGGCGGTCAGTACATAATCGAGTTTGGACCAGACAATACAGTGATTGATATTATGAGCATCGATCTACGCAGCTGTAAAACAACAAGATTCCTTGTAATAATTGTTCAGTAAAGATGTTGGATCATACCCAAAGAAAGATTCCATCTTGCGTTATGGCGAAAAAGCTGTGAAGTTTTTTTATATGAATAGACCTCTGAAAATCAGTGCTGACGCCCAAGGTTCGCGGAAAGGAGAAGCATGTCCTGTCCTACCAGTCGCACCCGCCATTCACACAATTTGCTTGAAAAAAAGTAACTTAAAGTATTTATGTCTGCCGCCGCAAGCAGTAGTCCTGCTATGCGACGACGCCCTGTTAACAAAGCAGTCAATCAATGTAAATGTCGCCATATGTTTATATCAAACATGTCATTATGTATATTTGTAAATGTCAAATGCGCTTTTAAGCCTTAGCGGTAACAAAGCACAATGTTTTCAGTCTGAATACACAACGCATATTCAACAACCGAAACACTTTTTTCTTTGGTATGTCACCGGTTAGATGTATTTTTAATTGAACAAATACGGCATAAACTGAATAACTAAACATTTATGCTTAAACATTGATAAGCCTCGGGTAACACTATAGCAACTCACAAAAGATAGACCTATAGAAGCACATGTGTATGTTTTCAATATTTTCGTGAACACACTGTCTCTGTTGTACAAAGAGCCTATCCTAGCCTATAACATATCACAGGTGCCTAAAGACATCCAACTTTTTATGTTTACAGCCAAGCTTCCTTGTACTAAAATAGCCTTAACTGAATACATAATAAGTGTAAGAAGTTCAAACTCGGCATTCTCACATCCGTGTGTACTCGACGTCGCTATTTAAGGGTCGCCCATATGGATATGAATGGTAGAGTTGAAGCTGTCCTGATCAAAAGTAGAAACGAAAGATGGGAAATTAAATGTGAACAATATGCGAACAAGGATACAGTTTACGACACTGGATACGACACATGATACGGTACAAGAGCATGTCAACACTGATTAAAACTGTCAAAGTTTCCATGTGTTCATGGTCACAAGACGTACATGTAATAACCGAGCGCTATCAGTATTTGCAAGTGAAACTCGCGGTATGAAGACATGATTTCCAACTTAATTAAAAAAACAACACAACAATATTATATGTTTCTTCTAGTTCTACTTTACCAGGCTGGTTTTTCTCCTTTTGTCCGATATAACAAGAACAACTTCAAACAAAAACAAACAAAAACAATTCGTATCTGATTAATCAGTCTCTTGGTATTCCTAGAATTAGTACTTACATCGGGAAATCACATGAACAACAGCTGAACATCTTGTCTAACGTTACATATTCCTTAATACATTTGTAAATGTGTTTTACAGCAAAATAGTCTGAAGACACACAATTTTTTTAATAGTTAATAAAATATATAGTACGTAAAGGCACATGAATACAGAAACACTGGAATTGTTTTGGGGGGTTGAGTGTGTGTGGTGGGGGGAGGGGGGGGAAATGTGGGGGCATATGTGTCATTCAAGCAACACGCCAAGTCACCAACCACATACGCTTCAAATAAAGTTCAGAATACAAGACACAAACATACACAAATATACAATCAACCATGGAGATTTGATGTATAGTATAGTGTAGGGGGAGTGTTCTGGGTCAACGAGGGCGGAGTGCTCAGAGTCTAAGCTCAGAACACTTGAGAGTCATAGTCATCTCAGCCAAGGCCCATGTCACTCTTGAATAATCTGAGCCGGGTATTGCATTGAGCCTCCTACACAGGAGGTATTGGGAATCTCCAAACGTGTGATGGTCACAATTCTCCTGAAGAGAAACCTTAATGTGAAATGGATAGAATATCGTTGAACATCTTGAAAGAGGCTTTACTCCTTTCATGAAACCAGAAACCTTGAAACCCGCAAGTAGATTAGACCAAAGTCAGGTGATAAAAATCCTCGAATCGCCCTCCCGACATTCTTATTAAGGTACAGCCAACCTTCTTGAAAATCACGAAATTTCTCGAACGATCATGCTGTCCTGTGTTACTCAACAACCAAAGGAGGTAACTATAATTTCCAATTCCTATTACAATGTTGCCACTGCAGTGTTCTATGTTTCATTCGCTGGTCAAAAACGGAATTAACAGTCACTCCCCGTTCCACATGTGCATCCTGAAAAGGAGGCCTAGAACGAACTCCACGGACGAAAATAATCGGGAGAGTGAGAACTTTCTCCTACCTACAACCAATTTCGATCAAATGAATGCCTAAAATTAATGTTCACATGATATTCACGTCAGGGGTGTTCCAGTTGTTCATAACCATGAAAAACCATGATGCCCAAACGACGAGCGACGTTTGGCTCGGTACGGTACGGCTGTCATAAGGAGTGCGTATGATTCCGACAACGATGTGTTTGTTACACAAAATAGTTTCACGAACACTTTCGGTGTGGGGATTAATTGATATTGTTATATTAGTAACATTACTAAATTTTGATTCCAATGAACTTCCAAACTTTGATGTGTGTAACTGTGAGTTGATTGATCACGAAGGGCTTTTCTCAGGATCTGACACTGATCTGTACACATCAAGCCAAGCAACTGAATCTACCCTGTATCCCTCGCTCGCCACTTACTTCATCAGAAATACCTTAATCACGTGACACTTATGAACAAAGCATAGATTTAAGTTCAGCAAGGTTTGTCCAGCCCACATCAGATATTGACATTAAAGTCCAAACCGGTCTCTAAATAGATCGGTCAGCGAGTTATCGTTGACTGAAAATCTTGAATAACTAAAGAACGAGACAACATTCACATCCAAATCTTTGCAGACAGATTTGCCCTGCACAAGTCAATGTAACAAAAGTCACACGATATAAAAAAAATCATTACAGTCCAGTCGTCTATGAAACAACTTTGCACAACAGAAGTGGGAGGAGTTAGCCGTTGGTCAGCAGACATCTACTGCGTAAGCGAATCTAACGATAGTGAACCAAGACACCAGCTGCTTCTCGAAGTGTCTGTCAACGAAACTGCCAAAAAACTACCAAATGGTTTTACAAAGACGTTAAGTTCAATATCACAATGAACATATACCCATATACAGTTTACGATTGTTTTATGCAGGTATGTTGTGAAGAATGTTTCGTTGAAAATGTCAGAATGGAAACTATTTTGATTTACATTGACATGTAACATTCGCATGAAACAATCTTTTGACAAGGGATTTCCTGATGACAGCACATTGGGCGTTCTGCCCCGAGGACGTTT